TAGATGTGTATAAGAGACAGCCCCCCCTTCCTCACAGGCGGCAACGAAAGATCACGGCCAACATGCAGGTGGTGATGTGGTTCGCGGGTCTCCGCGGCGCCATCGCTTACGCCCTGTCCACGAGCATGCCAGGCGCGAGCAAGGACGTTTACGCGTCCACCACCCTGATGGTCGTCATCTTCACCACCATCGGATGCGGGGGATTGACGGAGCCCCTCCTGCATCGCATGAACGTCAAGATTCAGGTGTGTGTTGGTTTGCTGCGTGCGCGGGGCTGTTGAGGGTCTTTTTGGCGGAGTGGCTGCCCTTGTTTTTTTTTTTTTTTGTTGTGCCGCCCTTTGTTTTGTTTTGTTTTGATCTACTCTGGCGTTGCTTTGTAGCTCCCTTGCTGGGGCCTAGCTGTCTGTTTAGTTCTGATCAATCTAGCATTCTAGGTTTTGTCCCTTGTGCTGCTATTCCGCTGTTTGCGCCTTGACTGCGTTGTTTATCGTTGTGTCCCGGCGTGCCAAGGCAAGGGGACAACGTTTGTGTTCTCGCCGTGTTGGTGCCCAGGTTATCTTGTTGCTGGAGACTAAGAGTCGCCTCTCGTGGCACGTCGGTACAAGCCCCCCCCCCTCCCCCCATTGTAGTAAGGTTTGTTGCCGGTTCATGACTCGAACGACGCTTGTTTTGACTCTAGTGGTCTGTCGGAACAGCACCTTCACCCGTCCTTTTGTATTTGAGCGAATGATCACCCGTTTTTTTGTTTTTATTGGCAGCGTGGCGGGGGAGCCTCCGGAGCGGCGAATTCCACGTACCAGCAGCTGTTGGCCTCGGATGTTGAGGGAGAGGAGACACCTCCCGGCAGCCCCGCCCTGAGGAGTTTCCGCAAGCACAGGAAACGCGTGTCACGGACTGTCGGGGGCGGCGTGGAGAGCCTTTGGCGACACGTGAGTATTGTTTTTTCGGCCAAAAACACGAACGGGAGAATCTCCATCCGCAGATGAAGATTCCGGGATAGGTCAGCAATGAAGTCGTAGGTCAGCGATCTGTAAACATAACTTTTCGTTTGTTTTATCCGTTATGGTTTTATGCAACAAAAGTATATAGTTTTTCTTCCGACACCAAGTCATACCTGTGTTGGTTCTCGGTTGGTATCTTCCTAGCAGAACTGGATATGCTTGCTTCCTTTCCAGGGGGTGGTTTTCCTCGTCGATTCCGAATACAATGCGCCAACGCTCAGAAGTTGAGAACTTGAACCTCGAAGAATCCAAATCTAAGAACTTGGCCAAAAGGACAGGTGCTCAGTCAAAAAGCCTACAATGCATACATATACAGTCACACTACAACCTATGTTGTCGCGGTCGGGATACAGTACTCCATAGACAAAAAACGAACCAAACCTCGGCCGAAGTAGGTGGTTCTTGAGTGGTGGCGCATTCTGAATCTCACCGGATGTTGACAGATCTATGCGTAAGACTTGCCAGATACATAAAAGGAGTATGCGTGCATTGTTTCAGGAAAGGGTTGACAACGATTGTCATGCCTCTCGTCCGTTTCTGAGAGGTCTTCTTATCTCCTCTTTATCGTGCTTGCCTACCGTACGGTTTAACATGCAGCGCGGCGATCGATTCCTCACGCCAATCCCCGGATCCCCTCCCCCCCTTTTTTGTCCCGCCGAGATATCGTTTTTTTGGTCCTCCGATTACATACCTCCAAAACTTGTGCACACCACTGGCATACGTTTGGTCTTGCCGCCACTTCACGGAGACATCACGCAAAGCAAATCATCACGCAATTCTGGTTTGACGTACGCAACAAAAAGAGACACGCGCGCGCGTGCACAAACACCTGATGATGCCCACGCCGCTGCTCCCCCGTGCGGGACCATGGAACATGCCACACGGACGCTCAAACGGGGGACCCGTTGGCTGGCTGTGTTGTAAAACCTTGGCACGGCAAAAACAAAAAAAAATAGTCGGCGGTTTTACAACATGATACTCCTACCATCTCCGGTTGATGGAGTGTTTTCTGATCGGGGTTGCTGGCCACAACTGCGGTGGTTCTGTAGGGCGCAGAGAATGATGGATTGTGCGTGCGGGAGAATTTCGGACCTTCCGACAGGCAGTTTTTGTGTTTTCCGGGTACTTTCGATGTGAATTGGGCCAAAACTTTGCCAGGACTGTGTTTTCGGTGTATTTTTGAGGTGTTTTGGACCAAAACTATGAAATTTTCTCAAAAAATGAGATAGAAACATTTGCCGTTATCTGCCTAAGTAGCTCTCGACTAAGCGATCACGAACATCAAGGTTTCACGTCCAACTCGTTGTTGGTAATCTCGCTTTTTGTCATTCGCTCTTTTCTTGTTGTTGTGATTCTTGGGCGTATGTTTCTGTGCAACGCTCACCCATCAGGCGGACTCCCGGTTCCTGAAACCGCTGTTCGGAGGATCGATGCAGGACATCCAGGCAGAGCTCGCCAGAGAGGCACGGGAACAGGAGTTGATGCGCATGTCCCTCGAGAGGAAGGCCTCCTCTTCTGTCACCTCTTCCACCAGGGACGGGGGGGGGCGCAGCAACGAAATGTCCAGCAGCAGGGGGGGTTCCGCCTCTCCCAGACGACGCCCCCCGTCGTCTCCCGCGGACGGAGGCGGCGGAGGAGGAGGGGGGTCATCCGGGTCTGATTCGGCGGGGTCCCCTGGGTATTGGGATGCCTCAGGGAGAGGGAGGCAGCACAGATCCGCGATGGAACACATGGATGAGCCCTCGATTGGCACGCACGTGTAGCGGCGTGGCGATATATGTTACTTGTGTTCTAGGACGGCAGTATTTACTTATGTGTATTGTTTGTTTTCATGACTAGTCTACTTGTTTCTATGTTTTTGAACCCCCGTGATATGCGCCTCCCCCCCCCCTGGTGTTTGCCATCGGGGTTGGGTTCTCGTCGCCTGGCAACGACGTTGTAAAACAAGCCAATTCACTTCGTGAACTCGGCAACCAGGTT